CTGCGGGTGTTTCCAAGCCGTGGAGATGTGGTGTGAGGGACACGGGGCAGTGGGGACCTGGCAGGGCTGTGGATGGTTGAACTCTGTTATCTTGAAGATCTCCTCCAGCCAAAACAATCCTGTGATTCCAGGACTTACCTTCACAAATGTGACCTGCTCGTGCTCCTTGGCTAGAGCTGCCATGACCTCGTTCATCTGAGCACACTGGGGAGCCCATGGTGCCCAGAAGTGGACAACTACAAGGGACCTGTTGGAGAAAAGAAAATAAATCTATGTTAACAGCATTTTCAAATGAAAAAGAACCATGCAGTACAGCAGTTCCACTTGCCATGCCAAACAAAAACCCCACAAACCAAGAAAGGACTCGCACACTCCTCCCTGAAAAAGAAAGAACTGCATGAGTGAAACCAGGAACTCCCCCAGAGGAGGACTTGAAACTTTCCCCAGGAGACACCAAAACCCCACAACCAGAAGCTGCACGTGGGAGCAGAGATCCCACCCTGGGCACCACGAGGCACCTCTCACCAGCTTCACCAAACACCAGGATGATGATGACAGGAACAAGATATTGGGATCTAATTTTCAAGTCTGTTTTCAGGTTGGCTGGTGTCAAACCCACCAAGAATGGGGGATAAAGGCTGAAATACACAGAAGGCAACACTGGAACAGGCTCCTTGAAGTGATTCCTGGTACAGAAGGAGTTTGATAGGGACTCCTCAAGCCCACACGTCACAGCTCAGGGTAAAACCTGAGCTCCCAAACCCTGTTCCAGCCCATCACCTTTCCCAGCAATGCTCTTTGTGGAGCCCAGCTACAGAGCACAGGGTTCTGGGGGCCTCCTGCTCCTGCAGGAGCTTCACCTGCCCCCACAGCTCTGCCCTCAGCTCACAGACACACTTTAATTAACATTTTGAGCCCACGGGGACATCACGTCGCCACCAACATTTTTTTTTTTGCCACAAAGTAATGAGGGGAAAATAATTAGGTGGGTTGGGAGGCAGGAAGTCATTTATATGGATGAGAACATCCAGTCACAACAGGCAGGGAACTTCAACATGAGAGAGAAAGCAGCAGTTCAGTACTTGAGAAGCCAGGCCAAGCTCTGAGGCAGAGAGTAACCAGCTCTGCTCCCCCTGTACGTGCTCATTTGCCTCTTGTCCTGTCCCTTGTCCCTTGGGAGCAGAGCCCGACCCCCCCCTGGCTCCTGTCAGGAGCTGTGCAGAGCCAGAAGGTCTCCCCTGAGCCTCCTTTGCTCCCGGCTCAGCACCCCCAGCTCCCTCAGCTGCTCCTCCCCACACTTGGCCTCTAGACCCTTCCCCAGCTCCATTGCCCTTCTCTGGCCACGCTCCAGCCCCTCAATGTCCTTCTTGATCTCTAAGAGCAAGTCCAACCATCAACCCAACACTCCCATGAGCACTAAACCATGTCCTGAAGTGCCACATCCACATGGTTTTTGGACCTCTCCAGGGATGGGGACTCCAGCACCTCCCTGGGCAGCCTGGGACAGTGTCTCACCACTCTGCCAGGAAAGAAATTCTCCCTAATATCCACCCAAAACCTCCCCTGGCACAACTTCTGCCCATCTCCTCTCATCCTATTGCTGATTACCTGGGAGAAGAGACCACCCCTCACCTCACTCCAACCTCCTGTCAGGCAGAGTGGCTGCACCTCAGGCCCCAGCAGCAATAAAGAAGTGGATGTGCTCTCCCTGCAGCCACACAGCACAGAACACACACTCTCCCCTGCCACCAAGAACTTCACAAGTGCTCAGTTTATTCTCTGCACCTCATGGGATGTGTCTGACCACAGGAACACCAGCTCAAGACAAGCACAGGAGGAATAACCACAGATTGTTTAGTCCTCACCCCACCAGAGCCTATTTTCTCCTTAACTAACACACTGCTGCAATGCTCTTCAGGTTTATTTAAGGAAGAACATGCTTTAATTTGCACCAGGGTTTTGAGTGTTCTTTTTCAACCAAAAAAAAAAGCACATTCACAGAACAAGTCTAATTCTGCAAGGACACTGCCCACTTGGTCTCTGAGTAGCTGGAAGCTGTAACACAGCAAGAGTAATTCAAACCATTAAGGAAAGAAGAAAACAGAGTTAAAAATGAAGCATGTAAGTGATCCCAAACAAAGGATTATATCCAAACAAGGTGTTTCTAACAACTCTGCTAGTATCTACAAAAGATGATTGTAACAAAAAGGTGATAAAAACTCCCAAAGTTTCTCTCCCTGTATAATTTTATGTTTCACACTTTGGAGGAAAAAGCTGTGGGTCCAAAAATAAAGTGATCTTACTGTATTCAAACTTTTTTTAAACTTTAATAGCAAAAGAAAAAAAAAAAAAAACAAGACATAAGACACATTTTCTGTGCAGGAACAAAAAGCCCAAAGTCTTGTTTCTGTAGTGTATTAAAAAATTTAAGACTCACAAAACGAAAAGCCTCACAAAATATTCTTCTAAAACAATTGTAGAACCAAACCAGCAAGATATTCAATGACAGAGACATCCAGAAAATAATTCCTCCAGAGGTCACCCTCCTTTTGGGCCAAGCTAAAAGGATTTTTTTTAAGTGTCAACACAGGTTACTTGGTTTTATAAGGTCATTTTTCTAAAACACAGTCCCAGTAAAACAACAGATTAGAGCAATAGTAAAAGTGGCTCAGTAATTTTGAAGACATTGGTTCAGTTTGTCTGTTGGAACTGTACAATCCAGCTGCATTTTGAAGGGAATTAAACCCTGAAATGACACTTATTCCATAAATAAAGGCAACAATAACTTGATGTCAGAAGGATTCATTTTCTGAAACAAGAACTCCTGTGAAATTCAGGGTCAACAAAACAGGCTGGCAGCTGGAGCTGATCAGAGGCACTGCTGGTAGTTTGGAAGAATCAGAAAGTCCATTTGGGAAAAAAAATAAGATAATTATCAGTAAAACAGCATTAAAAATTCAGCACATTTTTGTCTTTCAAAAGAAAAATCCTTCCTGAAGAAACTTCCTCCTTTCCCAATTCCAGTGAATGCTTAAAACTTTTTAATACTATTAATTTTCATATCATAAACTATAGTTAGGTTATAGTTCTATATTTATAGCTGCTAACCTAACTACAGAAGGTACCTTAGGTCAGCCAATGTATGTTTTTAAAGTTCTATCACCATCCAGAAATGGGGAGATGATTAAAAAAACCCAAGATCTACAATTTGAAGGATCTGTTGTGCCCTGTGAGTGCAAGGTCATTTAATTCTTTAGTAGTAAAAAGAAAACCCAAAGGCAAACATTTGGAAATGAAGCAGAGGAAGAGAGTTATCAGCACTATCAATTCCTCTTAGAACCAAAAACCTAAATGTGCATAAAATAACCAAGCCCACTCCAGAGCAAACTGAACCATGTTCTGTGGCCAAGGGGAATGAGAAAATTACTGAGGGTTTTGCCAAGAAGAACTTCAAAATATTGTATTTGTTCCTGAAACCATCTTCATTTCAATGTGTCTCAGGGAGGTCCCCACACAGCAATTCAGAAAAGAATAATTCCAGAAAAGTCAAGCAGCAAGTTTGGAAGAAGAGAGTTTCTTCTTGCCCTAATCCAAACTTTCCCTTGTGTGGTCTTTAAGAATGTGGTGCTGGTAGTTTCATCACTGTCTTTAAACCACTCATTAAATAATTTTCTTTAAATTCATTTAAAGGCCACTTGCTAGCACAGCAGTTATATGACACAGAAACGTTTTTGACCCAGCACCTTGATGTGTTTTACAAGACTGAGTTAAATACACACTCAGATAGTGGATTAAAAGATATACTAATAGTCACCTCACCTTTGTTTCAACAAGCAAAGCTCATAACCAGACCTGTCTGTCTTCAGTAAGGCTCTTAAGGACCTGTTGAGCTGTAATTACTGCAGTAGTCGCTGGGAGACCTTCCCACCAAAGCGAAACACATCTGCAGGGTTTTCCCTCAAAAGATCAATGCCCGAGACTTCCAAAACCAGACTAAAAGCCACTGCCCAGTGGCTACAGAGAGTCGGTGGCCCCTGCTGGGAGATGCCCATGGAATCATGGAAAGAGAGAGCACAAAACCAGATGACTGAGGAACCGGCCCTGGTGCATGACATGAATGACTTCGTTTCACGTTGCTTCCCAATAAAGAACCCAACGCTGCCGTTTCCATTCAAAATGTTGCACAGTAATCGGTTCGTTGATCCCTTAGGCTTCAGGAGAAGCAAAAAAACCCAACCCTTAGTTTGAAGGGAAGCCGTTTTGCAGCATTTTCCTGCCCCCCTGAGCCGGCACTGCCGCAGGCCTGGGCGCTCCGAGACCCCCAAGGAACACGCAGCCCCCAAACACCGCCTGCAAAGCCCCCCGGCCCGGGGGCTGCGACCTTCCCGCTGGGGC